TTTTAAAATCCCAGAACAATTATGTGCTAGAAAATGCATAACAACAGGCTGAGAGGTAAGGGAGCCCTGACATTAGCACTTGCCCATCTCTAGGGTGTAAATACGCTCATCACAGTTGACTTGAAGCTGGCAGTGATGTCAGTAGACTCATGAAATTCATGAAAATGTGAGAATTGGTTCTCAGAGCTGGCACACCAGGGACATAGAAAGAACTCTGAAAAGTACAGAGTGTGGGTCTCTCTTATCACAGTGCATGGAAGAGTGGAGCAGTCTGATCCAATGTCTTCCTCAGAGCATATTGGGGACAAAAGTCTTTTCAGGTAGCTGAGACTTGAGACTTTAAAAGGCAGAGTCACAGAGAAAGAGGAACAAACAGAGAGAGAAAAAAGACCTTCCATCTACTGGTTCACACCCCAGTTGGCTGCACTGGCCAGGATGGGGCCAGGTCAAAGCTAAGAGAGAGGAACTTCATCCCGGTCTCCCACATGGGTGGCAGGGGCCCAAGCACTTGGGCCATCTTCTGCTGCTTTCTCAGGAGTATTATTAGCAGGGAGCTGGATCAGAAGTGGTGTAGCCAGACTCAAACTGGCACCTATATGGGGTGCTGACAGTGCAGACAGCAGCTTAACCTGTTATGCCACAACTCCAGACCCCTGAAACTCTTGACTACAGATTCAGGTGTGGGCTTATTTGCACTAAACAGAAGCCACTCTGCCTAGATTAATTAGGATAGTGATATTTTGCATATTATTATCTTAAAGGATATTAGATAGCTCACAGAATCTATACAGTGATTAAAAGATGTAAGTTAGGCTCCCAGCAGCAATATTCAAATCCATGATGAGAAAACCTGCACCACCACTGAGTACCACATTACCCAGGCTGAACATGGTCCCTGCAGCTGGGTCTACCATGACTGTTTCACCAGTACCCACATTGCTTCTGCATCAAGGGATCACACATGACTCTCTCTGGGAAGCAGCCCTCATGCTGCTCTGTGCACAGAAGTCCAGAAACCACAACAACAGCTGATGATGCACACAGAGTCCATTTGTTCTGCGTTCCTCCACTCCCTGAAGGGACGACAACTTACTAAGGAGTTTGAAATCAGCAGGACCCAAGTTCAGTGTCTGCCTTGCAGCTTCCTGCAAGTCTGGGTTTGATTTCTGTATGGCTACTGGGGTAAAAGATTCATAACCTGTATATTTCATAACCTGTATATTTCTCTAAAAACAGGAAGACAGTGCAAATGTGTTAGGGCAGGCATCACTTGCAAAATCTACTGCCATCAGCTTGAGCTCCTTCTCTGCATTAAACAGAGATGTTGCCCTGGGACCCAATGTTGCTATTCTTTAACTTTTTCCTACAAGTAAAAACGTGACCTGCCGAGAAAGGAATATATTACACTTCATGCCCAAAGTCTTGTCCTGTTATTTCTACATAAACACAAAAAGAATAAATCACAGTCATGCTTGGAATCAGACAGACCTGGTTGCCCAGTCTCTCTGTCTTGGTTTTGTCACCAGTAAAATGGGAGAAGATAATAATAACCCCTTAGCTCAATGGCTGTGGTAAGAAATCAGTGAAATCTGCTGAGCAAAGGAATCCATACCACAGGGATGCTCACAAATCTATTAAAACTTAGTATGGGGGCAATGCAGCATTTTACAACGGAAAAAAGTGAGACTTGCACTCAGACAAACCAAGTGATGGATGTGATTTGAGCCTTTGTTTTCTCATCTGTAAAATCAATATTATCAACATCATCATCATCATCATCATCATCTTAATGCCTGAGGGTTGCTGTGAAGATTAAAAAGTTGACATGTCCAGAACAGTGTCTGGCTTATGACAGTTGCTCAATAAGCAACAGTCCTTATTAATATTATCACAATTATTTATGTCATTATACAGCATAACCCAGGGGAGAATATTTATTATTCTCAAGAATTAGTAGGTGTCTGCATTCAGAACATAAGAAGCCACAGAGTTCTCTATTGCTTTCCTGCTATAATTTATTTCGTATATGCTGACACACAAAGCACATCCATTATTGCCCTGGCACCCTACTTCACTCTCGTGAGGCAAGCAGAATAAGACTGTAAAGTGAGTATTATTACCCTGCTCTACGTCACAGTGAAAAGGAACTGGTGAAGAACGGGTGTGGGGGTGGGGGCAGTGCTGTGGCATAGCAGGTAAAGCCGCTGCCTGCAGTGCCGCCATCCCATATGGGCACTGGTTCGAGTCCTGGCTGCTCCACTTCTGCTCCAGTTCTCTGCTATGGCCTGGGAAAGCAGTGGGAGATGGTTGAAGTCCTCAGGCCCCTGCACCAGCATGGGAGACCCAAAAGAAGCTCCTGGCTCCTGGCTTTGGATTGGTGCAGCTCCAGCCATTGCAGCCATCTAGGGAGTGAACCAGCAGATAGATGGAAGACCTCTCTCTCTTTCTCTCACTCTCTCTCTCTCTCTCTTGCTTTCTCTCTCTCTCCATGTAACTCTGACTTTCAAGTAAATAAATACTTTTTTAACAAAAAAGAGAAGAGAAGAGAAGAGAAGAGAAGAGAAGAGAAGAGAAGAGAAGAGAAGAGAAGAGAAGAGAAGAGAAGAGAAGAGAAGAGAGGGGAATGTCTAGATCAATAGCAAATTAGTGAGAGAGCTGAGGCCAAAAGGAGGGCTTCAGCTTTGGTGTGGCATGTTCTCTCTGCCACCTCATGATGGGCTTTCATTAGTTTGCTCTTTCATAGATTTAACAAATAGTTATGTATTACCTTTTGTATCTCAATCACTGTACTAAATAAGCTCTCCTGGTCCAAAGATGAATCAAAGAAAAGGCTTGCCCTCTAACCAAAATAATTCAGGAAAACATTCCACTCCACCTCCAGGGAATTCAACAGAAAATATTTTACCTATTATGTGATGCTCAGTGTTTGAAGAATTGTATTCACACATAGGACAGTCAAACTACTACACATAGGATAGACAACTACTCTCACTTGAACCATCACTTACAAAATACACACATACAACAACAGAAAACTAATTTAAAATGGTTAAGATGAATTTTTTAAAAGTACTACTTTTAACTGGTTGAAAGTGGTTTCATTTTTCAAATTAACCTCACTGTTAATAAGGCAAGCAAGTTTACTAAAAAAAAATCCAGATTTTATGCCAACACGTTGCATATAATACAATTTTTTAAAAAAGGTATTAACTTTTGGGGAATCTAGGTCTCCTTAGACAATTTTCCTTCTAGCTTTGCTTTGACTTTAGCTATGTGAGAAGAAGATATAAAACATCATGGGTTCTAGAATGTTCTGTCCTTGGAAGATCTCCATTGGGAGTTTTTAGCCAAATGTCTTATTAATTCCCCTATGACTAAGGCACTTTGGGGTCAACATAACTTGGGGTCTACAGGGATTACAGAAAAGGGACTGGATGCAGAGTTCACGCCAATGCTGCATGTTTCAGAAACTTGGGGTAAAGCCAGACCCTGCTAAAGGGATTCAGAAGGGAGTCAGCTCAGGGAAGCTTTTTCCTAATAAATTTCTCTGAAGTTAATGTTGTTCTTTTATGATCAAAAATAATAGTAGCTAACACTTAATGAGAGATGGGTATGTGCCAAGCACTTTACATACACTACTTCTAATCCTTAAAAATAATAAAACTGCAAGGTATAATTCTCTTTAATAATGACAAGATTGAGGCACTATTTAAGTAATTTCTCCAAGGTCACAGATGAGGCAGAGATGGCATTTGAAACCAAGGCTGCTCTTAACTCCTCTTTCCTCTATCTCTCTACTCTTACCCAATATCTTCCCCCAAGAAAACAAGACTAGCCCTCAAATGTTTGTCTACACAGGAAACCCCAGTTGTTGGCTTAAACTTATTTACTAATTACCACCTCCACACCCAGCAATATATCAGGCACTGAGGAATGTAAGGAAGAATTCTGGGTTTTGCCTTCTTCCTTGACTTGGGAAGAATTAACCTCTTTGAATGCTTTTCTCTCATTTGCCAATATCTATTCCTCTGGTCACTAGACACGATACAAAGATTAGAGCTTCTTTCTGAAACTTGTGGAGAGATAAATGCAATATTCTGTTCAGCCAGAAGTCCAAACTATATTAACAATCATTTTGAATTTCACAGATCCCCAAATAAGATAATTCATGTAAAAGTGACTTTTTAAATTTATCTCTGTCATTTATTTATGAGAATACTGAGGCATTTTTAAGCAATTTTTAAATTTTATTTAATTATTTGAAAGTGAGGAAAAAATCTTCTATCCACTGGTTCACTCCTCAAATGTCCACAGCAGCTGGGAGTTGGCTCAGGAGCCAAGAGCCATGAAAACCTTCTAGATCACCCATGTGAGTGACAGGGACCCAAGTAACTGAGCCGGCATCTGCTGCCTCCCAGGGTTCACAGTTAAAGGAAGCTGGAATTAGAAGCAGAGCCAGGACTCCAACGCAAGCACTCTGAGATGGAATATGGGCATTCCAAGCAGTGTCTTAACTGCTGTGCCAAATGCCTGTCCGTTAGTGTGATGATTTGTAAAGTGCCTGATAAAGAAACCTGAACCTCTGAATGTTCATTATATTTTTAAGAAAATATCAACCCTTCTCCTACTTCACATTGCAAAGATTGCTATTGGACGTCCTGTGAAAAATACCCTAAGATTATTTGCCAGAATTGGCTGTAGATTCATAGTATCATGAGGAGAGCAGTTTGAATGGTGTTGGTCAGTGATCTAAAGCAGAGGGTGATGGCTAATAGGGGATCTATAAGTGAGGGAGGAGAAGGAACAGTATTTTGAAGGAAAAAAAAAAAGATCCACATTCAATATGATAATACAATGGCATATTTAGAAAATGAAATGCATTGCTTTCATAACACAGACATCCAATACTTTCTTTGCTAGTGAGGCACTAGCATAATAAGATCAGATTGAGAAACACTGCCCCACATGTATATGAGATGATTGGAAATACATTAGCTTACCCCCTGGCTTTGATTCCATGGCCAAGTTCTCAAATCCATGCAAAGACTTGTTCTGTTTGCAAATAATTGTAGAGACTGGATTTCAGATGTTTGTTTTGCTTGGTTTGTCTCATTTTTCATCTTCACTTAAGAGAGAAGTAAACCAATATTTCCATCTCCCTAAATGCATGGGGAGGGAGAAAAACATGAATAAATTATATTCTAGTGGGCTGCTGAAGATTTCTGCACATCCACCTGGATCTCACTCAACTCACAAAGCAAAGAACATAAGGCACACCCACTTCATGAAGAAGAATGTCTGGTAATTCTACCGATGCTTGTACATCCTTAAAAAATTGATTCTGGCCATTAACTACAGTAACTTAAGACTTGAATCCATTCCTCCCTGCTAATTTATACCATCCTCATCTCTGAGGAAGGGAGCTTTGACAATTTTTTCCATATATATGTTTTATATATATGTATATATATTAATATATCAGGACCTCTCAGACACTGGTTAAGGCAATTAAGACAGAAAGTGGGGGTGCATGGATATCAAACAAATGTAGGCCATCCAGGATTCAAATAAAACATAAATAGTTCCTAACCCCAGAAAAAAAAAAATGACTCCTAGGAAAGATGTATAACCCACTGATGCCTATATAATTTCAAACTCTCTTGGAAGACAGTATGGAGATACTTCAGAAATCTGCATATAAACCTACCATATAGCCCAGCCATCCCACTCCTGGGAATTTACCCAAGGGAAATTAAATCAGTAAACAAAAGAGTTATCTGCACCTCCATGTTTATTGCAGCTCAATTCACAATAGCTAAGACATGGAATCAGCCTAAATGTCCATCAACCAAAGACTGGACAAAGAAACTATGGGATACTATGGAATACCATACAGCACTAAAAAAAATGAAATCTGGTCATTTACAACAAAACAGATGAATCTGGAAAATATCATACTGAGTGAAATAAGCCAGTCCCAAATGGACAAATACCATATGTTCTCCCTGATCTATTAGAACTAATAGAATACCTAAAACAAAATCTGTAGAAGTGAAATTGATACTTTGAGAAGCAATTACTTGAATAGCCTTTCTCTTGACTGTCAAAGAACAGGGTTTTTTGCTATTTGTTGAACTCTACTTAACACAGATTTAACCATATGTTTATAAAGTCAATTAAAAATAGATCTCAGTAAAAAATAAGAGTGAGAATAAGAGAGGGAGAAGGAAGTTTCTAACTGTAAAGCTGTATAGTTCTGAATACATTCCTATGGACTTACTTCTAAGGGTACAGCTTTAAAAACTTGTCATGGAACTCTAAATCCCGTTAAACTTGGTGGTAAAAATGCCATCTTAATTGTTAAAGTGATCATATTAACATATAGATGGGATTAAATATTAAAGAGATAATATAAATATGATCAAGTGCCTGGTAATAACAATAGATAGAATTAAAAAGGAGAGAATATCCAATATGAGAAGCAGTCCACACAGCAGACTCATAGAATGACAATCACTTTAACACTCTGACCTCAGAATCAGCCCTTAAGGCTTCCTGGTCTGGCTGAAATGCCCATGAAAGCATTTCAGGCATGGAAAGCCAAGACACTGTGGCAAAAATGTTCGCATGAAGGATCTCTGTGAGTGAGACTCCAGTAGAAAGAAGTCCCCATCAAAGAAGGATATACTTTTCTCTGAAGGGAGGAGAGAACTTCCACTTTGCTTATGGCCTTGTTTAAATACTGACAGAGACTGTGGATTCAAAAGGCTTCCAAAGCCTAGGCAGCCATGTCAAGAGCCTCGTTGGTCACTGATGTCATACATAAGAGTGTTAATTGGTAAATTAACAACAGGAGTCACTGTGTACTAACTCCCCATGCAGGACCTCTGTCCTCAATGAGTTGTATTATGAGAGCTAACTTTAGGGCTGGCGTCGCGGCTCACTAGGCTAATCCTCCACCTTGCGGCACCAGCACACCGGGTTCTAGTCCCGGTCGGGGCACCGGATTCTGTCCCGGTTGCCCCTCTTCCAGGCCAGCTCTCTGCTGTGGCCAGGGAGTGCAGTGGAGGATGGCCCAAGTGCTTGGGCCTTGCACCCCATGGGAGATCAGGATAGGTACCTGGCTCCTGCCATCGGATCAGCGCGGTGCGCCGGCCGTGGCGGCCATTGGAGGGTGAACCAACGGCAAAAGGAAGACCTTTCTCTCTGTCTCTCTCTCTCACTGTCCACTCTGCCTGTCAAAAAAAAAAAAAAAAATCACACAGGAGAGCTAACTTTAAAGTTAGTTTTGTGTGTGTGTGTGTGCAAGTCATCAAAATCTTTACTTAGTATAGAGTTGGTTTTCAGTGTATAAAGTTAATTGAAAATGAATCTTAATGTTGAATGCGTCTGGGAATGGGAGAGGGAGGAGGAGGATGGGTAGTAGCATGGGTGGGAGGAAGGATATGGTGGGAGAAAAAACTATATTCCTAAAGTTGTACTTATAAAATTTGTAACCCTTGGCCGGCGCCGCGGCTCACTAGGCTAATCCTCCGCCTAGCGGCGCCGGCACACCGGGTTCTAGTCCCGGTCGGGGCGCCGGATTCTGTCCCGGTTGCCCCTCTTCCAGGCCAGCCCTCTGCTGTGGCCAGGGAGTGCAGTGGAGGATGGCCCAGGTGCTTGGGCCCTGCACCCCATGGGAGACCAGGAAAAGCACCTGGCTCCTGGCTCCTGCCATCGGATCAGCGCGGTGCGCGGGTCACAGAGCGCCGGCCGCGGCGGCCATTGGAGGGTGAACCAACGGCAAAGGAAGACCTTTCTCTCTGTCTCTCTCTCTCACTGTCCACTCTGCCTGTCAAAAAAATAAAATAAAATAAAAAAAAAAATAAAATAAAATTTGTATCCCTTAAATAAAACGTTTCTTTGGGGGGAAAAAGTGATTGCCTCTAACTTGGGCTTAAATAACCCAGGCAAAGACTCTCAAATCTTTCCATGCCTCAATCTTCTTATTCAAAAAATGAGAAAAATACCTAAAAAGATATTATGAAGATTAAATGTTTCAAAAGATTAATGAGTGTGTGTGTGTAAAATAATTTCTGAAGCTAAATATGCACTCAGTAAAATTAAGTCATATGGAATTTTATTGTCATTGTCTGTGATTCTTTTTTCCTATGATATAAGATCCAAAGAATCCAGCCCAAGAATTTCAGAAGTTATACAATAGTTCCCAATTAATTCAACATTTTGCAAGTTTCTGTTGACCTTGACTACTAAGCCAAGCCAGATGCTCACCATCACTCACACACCACAATGCACCATTTTCCAAAAGGATAGACGCTCACACTGACCACATGGCCACAACTCAAAGTTAGATGGGCAAGTCAATTCATTCACAATCTCCCACCACAATTTAGCTTAATCTAATGATCTAAAGGTGTTTGGGGAGGCAAATCAAGCGGAAAAATTTAAACTTTACAAAGGGACCAAGAGTTTACAGGATAAAACATCAGGTCTCACTAGAAGGAACAGCTATACCCTTGGCCAACACAAATGCCTTCAGTATATCCTCATCAAGGAGTAGGTAGGATGGATGATTCCAGATGTTCCTTCTAGCCCTGGATACCCAGTATTTCATTGGCTAATAATACATTCAAAATGTAGGAAGTCAAATAAGAAATACACAATGGACAAAGGTGTATTCAGAGTATTTCCCCAAAGCTTTATACTTCAAGAACCAATTTCTTTGCCCTGATTTGAGTGCTTTCATCTGGCTAATCTTCTTTTGAACCTTGACTTGGACTCACTTTTCTGAGCAGGTTTGTTTTCCCAGATTCTTAATTTTTAGCGACCTCAAAGCAGCTACCTAGGCCTTTCCAAACTAGTTTGACCAAATCTGTGGCCCTGTCTTCTATAGAAATTATGTTGCAGTTTGTTCTTTGAGAATTCTCGGCTACCCTGTACCTCCTCTATTTGAATTTTAGTCTCCATTTTTAAAAAGAAAGGAAGGGGGGAAAGAGTGGCTGATAGTTAATCCTTCCAATTAAATTTGTCAGAGCAATCACTTCAGGTCTCCAGTCTATGTGGGGCTGAGGGAGAAATAAAGGGTCGCATGATGCCGTACAATGGCTAAAAAGAAACACTTTGACCGGTGTCACTGGGGACAGTCCTTGAAAAACCAGAATGTCTAGTCACTTTGGCCTACAGCAAAAAAAGTATTGAATAACTAGGACAAGTGCTAGTGCAAACAATGATCCTGTCATTAAGTCCTAACACAGTCACTGGGTAAGTGGGGCCACATTCACATACAGCGATTAAAGAAGCAGTTTGAGAAGAGAACAGTGAAGCATTTTTCTTCCTTCCTTCCTTCCTTCATTCCTTCCTTCCTTCCTTCCTCCCTCCCTCCCTCCCTCTCTCTCCCTCTCCCTCTCCCTCTCTCTCTGACAGACCTGAGAAAGCATGTAATGAGGATGGGCAGCACTCTGACCAAGCTGTAGAGTGTCCTCTTTACAAAATCAGCAGAACTGTTCTCCCCCAGTAAGCTGAAACCACTCCTTTGCCCCTGAGGGAGCCAGGCTCGTGTCATCCCAGTGGGTGAGGCCCGACTTTCTGCCAGTGTGTTTATGGTTCGCACAGAGAAAAATTGCTTCTCAGCCTTTCGGCTAAGATCAAGTGTAGAAAATGATTGCATTTTCATGAGCAGAAGAAAATTCCTGGTGAGCAACCAGGCAGCCATTGAGCCTTCTATCAGGTGGTTGTTCTGAAGAGCAGTTGACAACCTGAGGCTCCCCCAGCTGTTCTGGGAAGGTGAGATGGTCAGGGAGAGCACACGCGTGATTTGGGATGATAGAAGAGCTAACATTTCCCCTATGCTGTCAACTCTGGTGTGAAGCATTTTACACCTGTTAGCTTGTTTAACTCAGTAATCTTAGCAAAGGCTTCTATTAGTATCCCCATCTTTCAGATAAAGAAACTGAAGCATAGAGGTATTGGAAAATGAGCCTGGGGCCAATCTGTGGCAGAGCAGGTTAAGCCACCACCTGCAGCACTGACATCCCATGAGGATGCTGGTTGGATTATCGACTGCTCCACTTCCGATCCAGCTCCCTGTTAATGTGCCTGGGAAAGCAGCAGAAAATGGCCCAAACGCTGGAGCCCTTGCACCCATGTGGGAGACTCAGAA